AAAACCAAAGCGTTGTTGGCTACGGGAAAGCGTCTGCGCAGACGTATAACCCATGACGCAGGAAAATTTGAAGCTAGGATGCAAAATGCAGAAATTGAAGAACTATGTAAATAATATCGTATTTTAGCATTTTATTGTAAATAATATATTTTTAGCATTCTGATTACTTTTAAGCTGAGGGCCTCAAGTTTATCAGTAACTTTAGTTACTGTCACGGGTCACCCTCATTAAATAAAGTCTTTCACTTCACTTCACTTCAGTGAATGTGTCCATCCTCTGATCCATCCTCTGCAATGGTTAGCGCACAGTTCTTGAATGAATTGATAATCATTGTTTTGTCCAAGCCATCCCACGCCGAAAGGATCCATTTAACTATCTCTCTCCAGGGTGGAACACGCATGTTTCCTGCTGCAGTGAAAGAGTGCGCTTCACCAGCCATCCATTCATCATATTTCTCTGTGACATTTGCTTTAAAGGGCTTATTCCAAACCATGTCAGGCGCTTGAATGTATTTCATACAACCCCCTGGGGTGATTAAACGATCTATCTTTGACATGCGTAGTTCTTGTTTGAATGTTTCCATCACGTGGCACTTGAACGAATCCCACGCCAAGATTTGTCGGGTGAATGAAAACTCCCCCAGAACACTTCTTACCCAGTCGAGGGTCAGTTCTTTCATCCAACCATTATAAGATAATGCTACAACACATTTAGCCTTGAATTCTTCATTGAATAATTTGGTTTCTGTGATGAAATTGCAGTTGATTTAAGACTATCTGTCCTGAAGCCCTTGCATGCCCGCTGGATGGTAAGCCTTTACAACCACTTGACGAGCTGTGAGGGAAAGCATTACTCACCAAAGGATGGGAAAAGGCAGGAGTTGCTGGGGTAGTTAATGGCGAGACAGCTCTTCCTCCCGAGGATCCGTTTGAAGAAATTGACAATGTCCTTCATCTATAAGCGCAAATATATAGACAGTAGCAAATAGTTCTGCTTTGTTGCAAAGGAACATTTCAAACTGTTTTCAGTTTTGTTTTTTAATATGGTTTTGTTAGGTGTGATTGAAAACTATCGCCCTGAAAAATTAAAATCAGCTATGACAGTTATGAGACTATTCATTTGTTATATTGTAGATCAGTGTCCTGACAACTTTTGCAAAATTTAATTTCTTTTAAAATATTTTTTCGCCCAAATCGTGAAAATTAAGTCATTTTTGCAAAATTAAGTACCCGTGAAAATAAGTAACAATTATGGTATGTGGAGTACTACACAAAAGTTGGGAAACTGAAAACTCCTTTTCACTGTACAACGCTGAAACCATATTCAACAAAATGTAGAACTCTAAAGTGGAATTTTGTGGCTCAGGAAAAGGGTGCTCAGCTGTCACCCAATTGGTAATTCTTTTTCATGTGAATTCTGTGATGTGGCTTTTGCTGTAGATTAGATTTAGCTTTGACTTCTGTTTCCTAAAGGCTAAAATACTCCCAAAAATATATATTTAGCTTAGTTTATTCCCCAAAAATTCCAGAAAAGGGAACTTATTCTAACCTGATTTGTGTTCCATCCAACTTTTGTGTATTTTAAAATCCACACTAGATGTAACAAGTACATTTAAAATACAGAGATCATTTCCAGGAAATATCCATAACTATTCCAAGGAAGGGCACTTGAAATTCCTACAAGAACTTGAGTTTCAGATCCCACCAAAATCTTTGCAGGAGAGTGTATGTACACTATGCACATACATTTGGGTAGTGGGGTTGAACCCAAGAATCCTACACGGGAGGGGTATGGATATTTTCTGTTGAAAGACAATCTCCAAGTGCCCGTTCCAGCCAGCCACTCCTTGCATATTGCATACTAACGAATACTCAAAGCCTGTGATTAGTTACATGTAGTCACAGGGGGGAGTGCTCCCATATAAAAAGGACTGGGGTGCTTGCTGTACCTTTTAGGGGTTAAAAAAAAGTGGTTTTGGTGCCTTTGAGGGTGTTAAGCCTCAAAAAGGTCAGAGCTGGGGCTTTTGTGGTACCTCCAAGGGTGTTGAGCCAAAATATATGACAGGAGATAATGTATTATGTAAGAATTGGTACCCCTTAGGGTTTCTTGGTACCTCGAAAGGGTTGTTTTCAAAATTTCCAATGAGCACCCCTGTCCTTTTCATATGGGAGTCACCCACCTGCCATGTAATAAGTGCATAAATGCCTTGAAATTCAGTCTAGCTACAATAGACCATGATGATGTCTCTAAGCATAAATGAAAATTATGCAGCACACAGTCAGATACAGGGTGAACTATTCACTGCTTCTTTCCTCTACTCAGCAAAATGTTCATTGGATTGGACTGACAATGAGCTTCTCAACTCCATTCATTTTAACAGATGAAGAAACAAACTTGCAGTAACATCGCTGTACAGGCATGAAGGTTGCAGGTCCTGCTCTATTGAAAGTTCTCTGTCTCCATATCTCAACAGGCCGGCGGTAAAGTGTCTCCTGTGTGTCTTCACTGTACCACTCAATACAAGCGAACACATGCTTCTTGTACTCCTCTCCAATCTTAATACAGTTGACGAAGAATTTCACAAAGCCAGGCCTGATTGCTTCTGAGGGATCAATTTTCCCATCATTTCTTGCCCATGAAGCCATGACTCTTGCTGATCGTAAAGACCTGCACTCAAACTTTGAACCAATTTTCTCTCCACCAAGGTAAACAGAAAGATACCGCCTTGATACTTTGCTGACCATGCTTGCTTGGATGTTCTTCTCTGGATACATTGCTTGGTATGTTTCTGAAAGCAATTGATGATCATCTGCATCCAGGTGCATAAGCTTATAGGCACTGGGAAGTGTAATCAATGCAATTTCTGACCACTGAATACTTCCCAAATTGGTACTGGTTGCAATACTGAGCAAGGCAGATGATCCCACAGGCACACATTTAACAGATGAAGAGTCACAGTACTTGCTGAAGAGAGAAGTAAACTGTTCATAAAAATGCTCAGGAAGGGCAACATTGGAAACAAACTGTTCAGAGAGGAACTTTCTCATAAGCTGTGTTTCAACTGATCTATTGTTTGTGATGGTGTTTCCAAGGAATCTATTGTGCTGTTCAAAAGCAAAGCACCAGAAGCTATAAACAGGGCCATAATCTTCAATACACTCCTTTAGATGGCAGTGAAGGTGCATATTTATTCCCACATTATCCTTTCCATCCAAACTGGCGGCAGAATTTACGCAACAGCATGTCAGCTTTCACTAAATCGGTGTAAGTCAAATTTGGAACTGTGAGAAGGCGACATGCCATGACAAATGTATGGCAACAGTTTAAGTGTTGTTCTGGTAACAAGCCATGAAGTGCGTAAGTTGAATAAATGAGAGTCCAGTTCATCCACTGCGATGCTTTGTAGTGTCAGTGATTCAATGAAATTTTGTGTGGCAGTCTACCCACTCCAGTTCCTACATCAAAATTGTGAATTCTCTCTTCAATAACTTTGAGTTTGGCTTTTGTCAACAGGTCTCTGTCCAGCCATAGCTGAAACATCCTCTTGGCAGTTCCAAGATACAGATTGTGCATGGGGTCAATGACAGTAAAACGAATAGCATCAAAATATTCAAGTTCTAGAAGAACACTAAAAATTAATAGCAGCCATATCGAGTAGCAAGCTTCTCGTGTGTTGTCTTGTTTGGTGATTTCCTTACCATTTCAGCATATTTCCTATGTAAATCATTACAACGCTTTGGCCAGTTTTCTCGGTCAAATCCTGAGAAGTCTCTGCCTGATTTAACTGATCCAGGAAATGGTTTAAAACACTTAGAGCAGGCTTGTTCTGCAGAGTGGCCTTTTAAACCACAGCTTTCTAGCAGCTGGGATGTCAGATGCTGCCAATAAGATTTCACCTCGAAAGAGTAGAGGTATGGTACTGATGCTAGAGTGTAGTGTTATTCCTCTCCATAGGACCTTCATCTCATCCACCAGTGGTTTGACAAAGGGGTCAGTGCTTTTTGGCATGGTTTCCATATCTGGAATAACGGTGACAAGAATTACATTCTCCCATTTGAAACGTTCTTCCCTTGGTAAGTTTAATAACACCAAGTAGATGACTCCAACAGACACATCGCTTCTTCTTGTGTACAGTTGAAACCAATCAACATTTAAAGTGAAGGCTAAACTCCTTGGGGCATTGAGAAAGTCTTTGCCATTAACTGTCAAAAAGTCCTTCCAGACCTGTCCATCATACACATCACCATAAAAACCATCATTGACTTTTCTTTGACACCACAGCTCGCATTTCTCTGGAAGGTTTGGTCTCTTAAGCATTGCCTCAATCTGATTTATAATGCTGTTAATGCAGTAGACTTTTAATGGATAAAAGTGTTCCTTTCCATCAGACAAGACTACTTTTTGAGCCAGCATAGTTCCACATTCCTTTGATCCCTTTCCTTTCTTGAAAGCCTTGTGTGTACAACATTTGGCAATAATTCTCCTGCCAACACACTGTGTGCGGTCTCCAGGATTATACAGGGATGAACATTTAAGGCAGACAACATATTTCACAAAATCATCATGATCAAGGTGTACCAATTGACGTAACACAAACAATGATGTAGGAAACATGTACAAAACTTCACAAGGTAGTCACATTGACATGTGATCCCAAGTAAATGGAGAAATTGAAACAGGAATTGCAGAAGCCACTCCAGCCCATTGTCACTGATTTTGCAATTTCCTTGCCATAGAAGCATGAAGAGAACACACCACTGCAACAAGGATATCAATTTTTGCATGATGGAGGATCTCTCACATGGCTCTGGGAGAGGCTCTTTGAGGTTGATGTCCCACAAAACTTCATCAGGGAAATCTTCCCAAAACTCAGGTTGCTCTATCGGGTCTTCGTCTTTTTTTGTCCCCCTATAAAATAAAAGAATCATTGTTTGTGTGTCAACCCTACCCAAGCTACAACGTCTATGCTTTGCTGGCATTTTTTTCTACCATTTCCCCCTATGTTATTATTTCCTCAATTTTTATCCAAAGTTTCATTTTCTGAAAAATTTACTCATTCCTTATTTTTGTGAAAACTTCATATTTGTAACAAAAGTTTAATCTGAGCCAGTCTAAAAAAAAATGGGTCACACAGGTAGATTTTGATACAAAAATATACCACAAATAAGTGGCCACATATTGGTGCTTGAAAGCCATGTTGGGCTTCAAAATTAGTATTGTTGAAGACCACTGATTTGACTTAAAGTTTGGTAGCACATGGTTTAAACACTGGTCTCACAAGACCCAAAAGCGTGGGAAAAATCATCACGCAATGTCTCGCATGACTGAGGAAAAGCACGGGAGTTAAAAAAAA